CAAACCCTTCAGCACTCCCCAGGGCAGGAGGATGGGAATCCTTCCCCTTGCACTGAGCAGGAGCTGTCAAATATTCCTGCCAAGCACCTCTGCAGGCACTCCTGTATTCAAGGATCTGTACTACACAAAATATTTCATTTAAAAAAGGAGGAATGAATACCTAAAGTAATGCTAACGTCTCTGAGGATATTAAAGGTGGCAGCCAGTGTTATTGCAAAGCATTATTGAAGTTGCCCTGGCAGGCAGCTCCTCACACACACCCTGCACAGCCTTTCCCTGCAGGAAAAGGGGCTGTGGTAGGGGAAAAAAAGGCTCCTTTACAATCTGGGAGGCTGCAAAGAGTCCTCAAAGCAAAGGTTTGTCTAAAAAACATCTTCATTACTACCTCAGGAAAAACATCTTCAGAACTCCCTGGGAGAGGTGGGGAGTTCTATATAAACACTGTTAAAAACAATCCAAACATACCAGAGTGGTTTTTTTTTTCCCTATATAATCCAAATCTCAGCTGCAAGACTCATTCTGACCATCTTATTGCTCAGTTCTCTCAGAAAATGAAGTCCTGTTCCACTTGGTGATAATCTTTTTTTTTTTTTTTTCCCCTCTCCTGGCTTCATAAAATCCATTTTCTCAGAATAGTTCCTTCCTCCATGAATCCTCTAAAAATGCTGGGAGCCAGGATTTATTTGGAGAGGGCCCCAGTGAATCAGTGGAGGTGACTTTAGCTGCCTGTCCTGCTGCCATGCAGCAGCTCAGAGAGAACCAGCACAAGAGGAAGAAAATATTAATGACTCAAAGGCACCACAGGACCAGCCCTGTCTGCTCTCATTTCCTCTGCTGCCAATAAGAGTGTATTTTACTCACTGCACCAAAGTCTCCCTTTCAGGTAATCCTTCATCCAAACCTTCTGCTGGCACTTTCCAGAGCCCAGAAGTATTAAATCTGGTGTTCCAGCAGTTGCTGATATATCAATAGGAGTTGTTGGACAGCTGTTCCTTCAGAGGAGGGAACAGATTTATCCCTATCTCCAGCTGACTGGGAAAAAAAAAAAAAAAACAAGCTCATAAAATAAAATCTGCCGAGATAAAACTTGCTAAAAAAGCAATATTTCCACAGGGAAGGGGTCACTCACTGAGAGCCTGGAGCCCTGCAGCTGCTGGCAGAGCCCAGCTCCCTGCACACGTGGCTCAATCCCCAAGCCAGAGGGGACAACTGCTGGCTGCTCTCATCCCCAGAGCCAAATCAGGACGTGGGGAGGCTGTGCTGAGGCCAAGGGGATTGAGCACTTGGCTGGGGCTGGGATCTGTTGTTAAATGTGTGTTTTTGGCACAGGAAGAGCCATCCCAGCCCCCTGGTGCTGCCAGCGCAGGGCAGGGCACACACACAGCCCTTGGCACGTCCTGCAGCTGCCAAAACCAGCAAAAGCACGTGGGGATCACTGTTCCAGCACAAGCCCAGGTGAGCACAGCCCCAGATTTTTGGCAAGCACGGGGAGCAGAGCAGAGAGGGGACATCACTGTGGGTGGGGAAGTGAGAGAAGATGAGGATTGTCAGAGCTACTGAGGGCAGCTCCTGTGCCAGGTCACACCCTGTGATCCTCCAAGAAGGAAGAGGTGGCTGGAGCCACCCTTGTCCATTCAGGAGCAGCACAAGTTGGCAAGTTGGGTGCCCACCTTGGTGGCCTCCAGCACATCCCTCTCTGGGCACTGCATCCCCCTGCCTCTGGCACATCCCACTGCTTGGCAACAGGGATGGAACAGGAAAATGCCCCAGCCCTCCTGCCAAACAGTGCAGCAGCTCACACTTCTGCTTTCCACCCTGCTGCTCTCCACGTTTTTCCTGCACAACTCAGAGCCTGGATAAGGAAAGCCCTGCTGCTCTTCCTCCCTCCCCCTGACCCAGTGCAGAATCCCACCCACATTCCAGCACATGGAGCAGAGCTGCTGCCCAGCAAAAGAAATATTGCTGCTATTCCCCTCCTGACAATACATTTGTGCCTTAATTAATAGCAGGGTTCCCATGGCAACTGCTTGTTTATAACAGGAAAACTAAAAGGCACCAGCAAATCCCAGTGTCAGCGAGCACAGGAGAAACACTGGGTGTGCAAAAATAAAACTTCTGCCTGGTGGGGATGGCTTTTCTTCCTTGAGGAAGAAAAAGGAAGCCTGTGGGAGCCAATTCCCAGGTTCTGACAGTAACCCCTCAGTTTTGAGGGGGAAAAAGGGGCACCTGAAGTTTGTCCCAGCTCCTGGCACGGAGGGTGCCCAGGGGCTGTGACAGGGCTGGGCTGGCCCCACCTGACTTGAATCCCTGCAGAGCTCAGGGCTGGCTCCTCCAGCACATCAGAGGGGCTGGCCAGGATGATGGAAAGCCCATGGAGAGCAGCCTGTCAGAGGCAGGAGTGGTAAATGCCAGAGCTCATTCCCAGGAACATCCTGCCCAACAAGCTCCGGGGTTGTGCTCCGAGCTGCAAGGACGTGGCTGGGTGAGCGTGGACAAGGTGTGAGCTGACAAATGCTGTCAGGAACCAGCTCAGCCCAGCTCCAGCTGCACATTCCCCGTGGCAATACCACGGATCCACTTCTCCACGGGGGAAGGAGGCTGCCCTGCCCACGGCAGAGCTGTGGGATGACAAACAGCAGGAGTCCCAGCCCTGGCAGCTTCAAAGGAGGTAAAAGGAGAGGGAGATGCACAAGCTTCCAGCTCCAGAGATGAATTACAGCCTGCAGTGCCCACTGAAAGCTGGCCAGAGGACAGGCAGCCTCACAGAGAAGGGCAACAGGGAAAGAAAGCACCAGAAAATAAAGCTATAAATTAATATTACCCAACCTATAAAACAGCAGCCAGACAAACATCAGAGAGCGGGGATGGAGGCAGCTCACCACCCACATCAAAGCTTACCAAAGGTCACTTTGTTGTCCTCCCCTGCTCCTGCCTGTATTTATGGGGAAGCCTTATCCAAAAAAACAGAACTCAGCTGAAAAGCTGAACTAAGCAGCAGGTCAGGTCTGGGCTCAACAGCCTCAACTCTCAATGTTTTCTCTATCATGTGAACAAAATCCAACTTCATCAATCAGTCCCTCTGCTAAGATAACTCCTTCCAAGCATCTCCTGGAGGGAAACACAAACATCTATTGTTGATCTAATTTTCCTTTAATTACAGAAGTTACAGCAGGGCTGGGAGTGCTTTCTTAGCTGGGCCCTGAAGAGCAGGTTTGTAAACCCAAGTCTCCTGGGGTTTCTTTATTAAAAGGTTATTTCCCCCTGCACTTCTGCTAAGAGGAGGAGTGCATGCAGCTGCTTCACTCGAGAGGTCTTCTCCAACTGAGGGGATCTAACAGCAAAAAACAGAAGGGGAGAGGCCAGACAGTTCTGCTAATCCACACAGAGAGGAAGGAAATCAAAGCAGACTGGCAGCAGCTCTGATTCTGCAGCGCTCACACGCTGGCAGAGCAATTCCTAACTCAGCTCACAGTGACTTGGGGAATCTGCTCAGCAGATTTTTCTAGAAGTGAGGAGCAAGGAGGGAGGGAATGGGAGCAGCCCTGGCTCAGCCTTGGCTGCAGAGTGCTGTCCACACTGGCACAACCCCTGGAGCTCAGCAGGAGCAGCTCCTCAGGCAGCTCCGTGTTCTATGGCTCATCCCAGAAAAGCAGTGGGGTGAGGGCTGCAGGGAATGCAGGAAAGCAGGGTGGGCTGAAGGATGGACAGCCCAGGAGAACTGGGGCTAATCTGGGCCACCAACATGCACTTAAATACCAGCAAACCCTCCAAAAAACCATCACACCATGGAACTCCAGCATCCATGTGGGACAACACCTCGAACAGAGAACTTCCCTGCTTGCTGGGAAGCAACAGGAGAAGCCAGCTCCTTCTCCCAGCTGCTTCCTGGGTGGGACAACCAACCTTTTCCCCTGGCCCAGGTGAAGGAGTGGCTGCTCCTGACGCTCTCGGGCTCCTCGTCCTGCCGGGGCTGGCACTGCAGCTCCAGGGCTTTGCTGCTGCTCTTCAAAGGCACCAGGTACTTGGGCAGCCCTTTGTAGAACCACGCCCCAGACCTCTTCCAGACCTGCCAGAGACACAGACAGGACACATTAAGCTGGGTTGGTACAGCAAAATGAGCTCCCCACCTCTCGGGGTTCTGTGGTCAAGATGACCCCGAGATTGTAAAGAGCCTTTTCCTCCCAGCCCCGCAGCCAAAGAAGTCCAGATGTGTCAGTTTTGCTTTGTTTATTTTATTTTATCTATAACATTCTTTCTCTGACCTGCTGAGCTCTCTCTAGCAAGTTGTTCATAGCATTCTGTCTGCCCTCTAGGGCAGTGTTCACATTTTACACTATTTTATACTATTTATACTACATTTTATACTATGAACTACATATACTTTATTTACAATTAATTCCCAATACCCATCATCTATGTTAGACCTTGTGGCTCTACTCTAAACCAATAAAAAGTGTCACCACCACAGTGAAAGCTGGAGGACAAGAAGAAGGAGAGGAAGGACAAGACACGCCCAAATTCCTCCATCTTGCCTCCTGAACCCCATTCTAAAAAAACCCAAAATTCTACTTTTTCACACTGTGTTACATTAACTCAAACTCTTATAACCTGTAAATCTTCACACAAAGTTGGCAGTTTTTGGCTAAAATCAAAGCCACAGGTGATTTTGGGTGATTTTGACGTTGTGCCAAGTTCTCTGAGCTCCCTCCCAGGGTCTTGAGCCACCAAGCTCGGCCCAGCCACTCGCTCTGATCCCAAATTCTTTGTCAGCCCAGATTCATCTCTGTCCTCCTTCCACAGCTGAAAATTCCCAGCTGTGAGGAAGCAGCAGGTACAGATGGAAGGAGGAGCAGAAGGTGATGGCAGAAGTGCTGCCCCATGCTGGACCTACAGCACAACCCCAGTGTTCATCCCACAGAGCAATTCAGGCCAAGCCAGGTCGTGTAACGAGCTCAAAAACCCCAGAACAACACTCAAACAACCTGAACCTGCAGCAGGAAATGGAGCTGGAGCACTAAACTGTAATATCTGCTGGAAGAACAGCCTCTCCTCTCCAATCTAGCTTTAATGCAGCTTATGAAGAAGGCACTCTATTAAGTATATTTAATATAAAGCCTGCTGTAAGCCAGGGGAAGGGAGAAGGGTGGCAGCTCAGACAAGGAGAAATGGCCTCTTACAAATCTAATTCTTGTGTGCCTTCCAGCAGCCTGATAATAAGCTAATGACACAGCCAGGGCAAAAATAAGTTAACATAGTAAAAACACCATTTTTTACTTCTTGCACTTCTGCTCAGAGTGAAAGAGATCGTCATTGTTCCCACTCCAAGTTCCCAAAGCATTTTACACACAGTTTCATCATGATGGCAGTGGGTGCAAATGCAGCTATCCCTAATTGCAGCAGTACATTTGCAATTTGCCTTTAGAGCTTAATGAAAGCAGAGGGCAGTGACAAAACCTGACATTCAGGAGGACACCTGTAGTGACAAAAATCTGACATTGAAAAAGCAGGACAGCAGCAGCACCACTACACTGATGGTTGCCTGGTTCCCAGCACCACCAAAAGAGCTCAAATCTTTGTGTTTGGGAGTCTTGAAAGCCAAGGGCAGGTGATCTGAGCGCAGAGGGAGAGCTAGAAATGTGGTTTTTAAAAAATCCACCCAGCAGAAGAAAGCAGAGCACTGCTGTGACCCAGCACACGTGCAAGGGGGAGGCTCGTGCATCACAGCAGGGTCTGCAAACCAGCAGGTGAGAGCATCCTACAGCTCCACCAACGTTCTCCTGCTGGGTAACCACCAGCAGGAGGGGGAGTCTGCCATCCAGGCAAGAAGCTGGGAAGCCAATTTCCCCAAGACTGCAAGTTGTTCTTCTGCAGAGGGGGTTTGGCAGGCAGGACACCTCAGCAGCTCCTTCTCCGCTGTGCCAACAGCCAAAGTGACCCAGGTGGGCAAGGCACAGGCTGGCACAGCTCCTTCTGTCCCTTCTGCTGGCACGTGGGGACTCACAGCAGTTGTCAAGCAGCACATGGCAGAGCAGCACAGGGACCCTGCAGGAACAGGCTCTGCTGGCTGAGAAAATGCAGCAGATTTTGAAGTGTGGGGCAGACATCTCCGCACAGAGCTCAGGCACACGTGGCCCCTGCAGGAGCTGCAGGCTGGGCAAGCCCAGGTGTGCTGGAGGTTTTGGGAGCAGCTGCATCCACAGGGCACAGCAGGAGAACAGGGACAGGCCTGGAAATGGTCCATCCCTGACACACGCTGGGGATCTGGTGCACACACGCCTTCCCTGGATGAACTGCTGGGGAGGAAACAGCCCTGTGGTACAGTCACTCCCTGAACAGACCTTGTAACATCTGTAATTTAATTTGAAGCACTGGAGAGACCTATTATCTTCAGGCGAGCTCCAATTTAGACACACCATAAAACCAATCAGACACAGCACGGATGGCTGGAACAAAGGCTGGTCACCCCCAGGTTTCTCACTACCCCAAAGCAAGTCGTTACAGAAAGAGTTAATGACACAACACACCCAGCTCTGATGTGGTAATGCCACTATAAAATTGATTCTCTGCATACATATTCCCTTTAAATTGGTGCTTCTAATAGAGTTTGGTCCTATTATGGCAGCAGTGAAATTGTTTTGAAATCAGCTCTAAAATAACTGCAGCAAGATGCTCCCCCCTGGATGGATTCAGTCCCTCTGCCCCTCCAGGTTTGCAGCACAGCCCATCCCAAAGGACCAGGGATCACATCCTGCTCTGCACATTTTGAGCATCCTTGGATCAAAACTCAATGTTGCTGACTGCTATTGATGGTATTTGATTGATGGCCTGACAGCAAAGTCCTTGCTTGATTTAAAATTAATACTTCTGTAACAGAGCCTTCAGAATAATATTCTTATTTATCAGCAGGAGTTTATTCTTGCCAAGGAAGGGAGGATGTTGCTCCCACCAGTTCACATTAAGGTGAAATTTGCTCCCCACAGCAGCCTGAGTTTGGGTGGAGCTGGAATGTCACCAGGGAGAGGGACAGCAGCAGCCATGACAGAGAAATGCCTTTTATAACCCTGAGAATATTCCCCTTAAAGCTGCATCAAGCCATCATTGCAGCCATGGAATGACACACGCAGAAGCAGATGGGGATTTTATCGAGTATTTTCAAATGCAGCCTGGAAATGGGACCTAGCACAGAATCACTGGGCCCTGGTGAGACTCATGTTGCTGCTCTGAGCATACAAGTGCTAAAACAAGCTCCTGAACAAGGAAAACATTAGGACTTGTTGATACAGAGGTGGATCACAGCTGAGGGAATCCTAACAAGCATTGGAGCCTCCCCAGAGTCCTCCTCACCAAACCACATCCTCTAAACAGAAATGATCAGGAAAAGATCTTCCCTGCAAAGCCACATTTTGCTCCATCACCTCCTGCTCGTGCCATGCAGTGTCCCCATCCTGCAGCCCTTTTCTTCACAGCAATCTGGGCTTGGCTGTCAGAATCTGAGGTATTGATGATTCTGAGATTGTAGAAAGTCTCTGTCTTTCAGCCCCGCTGCCAAAGCAGAAGCCATAATTGGTCTGTGCTGGTTTCAAGGTTGTTTATTCTGTTTATCTCTAACATGTTCTGCTGCCCTGCCGCAGCTCTGTCCTGCAGGGCAGCGTGTGGGGCTCTGCCCTCAGTGGGATGTTACAAACATTAAATACCACAAACTACCTGTGCTGGATTTACAATAACGTGCCAATATCTGTCACCTACGTTGGACAGTGTGTCCCCAGCCTGAACCAACAGAAAAATGCCAACACCACAGTGAAACATGGAGGGCATGAAGAAGGAGAAAAAGGACAAGGCACACCCAATTTCCTCCATCTTGTCCCCTTTGAACCCCTAATCAAGAAACCTAAAATTTTACTTTTGCACCCGTGCCACACTTAATAATTACTTATATCAAACACTCAGAGCTTGTAATTCATCCTGTAAGATTGAAAACTCCTCTCCATGGACAGAGATCACAGACAGTGTCTCTAGGGGCTCTGTCCAGGGGGGTTCCTGACCCTGCCAGGGTCCCAGACCTGCCAGGGCAGCCAGAGAGAAGCCCTGGATTCCCACACTTGGCAACAAAGCCACATTTTGCTCCACCACCTCCTGCTCGTGCCATGCAGTGTCCCCATCCTGCAGCCCTTCCCTTCACAGCAACCTGATCTTGGCGAGAGGAAAACCACCACCTTCATCCTGCCATGCTGCCACCAGCAATACCAAAAGGTGGGGAAGCAGCTTCCTGTGGGCCACAGTGAAGGAAAAGGCACCTGCAGATCAGGCAGCCCGGGAGGACCTTGCTGGCATGGCCTGCCTGCAGCATCCCATCCCGCCGGCGCTCCTCGGCCTCATTATTTGCATTCATCTGCCTCTCCATAACACAGAGATTTCCAATTACATTATTTACAGCAATCTGTTGTCGACTCCCACATTCGGCGCTCGAGGATGGAGGAAATTAAAAGGCAGTGAAATTACCATTCCGAGCTTTGTTTCGGGAATAGCAGAATCCATCGCCCCCCTGACCCCGACGTTTCTCAAGCTGCAGCGCCTGCCAGCCTTCAACCATTTATCATCCCCCTTTCAATCAGGCCTCTTTTTTTTCCCCCCCCACCCGTGGCTCTATTCTAGAGGACACTATTTCGAGTCTAACTACTCGCTGCCACCCCCAAAATAATATGGCAGAGGCTATTGATGAGTTCTTTCAATTGCAAACAGGTGCACATCGACTCCTATTCAATCCAGAGTCACCCAAAATAAACACCCCTCTGCATTCCCGGGGTGTTTTGCCAGGAAATCGTCATGCCAGGCAGGAATGACCCCAAGCTATGTTGCTTTACAGTGTTACAAGAGGTAAGAGTGGATATTTGAAAAGGGAAGCCCCAGGGGCAAAAGGGGAGGAGATGACTCTGCTCCTCCAGCCCAAAAATCTTTGCGTGGTTTATTGTGATAAACTGAGAAATGCAGCCAGCCTTAAAAAATGCAGTGGAGTGAAGGAGAAGGAATGAAAAGGAAAGTGAAGCAGAGAGGGCAAATTAAAACTTTTAACAGGTTCTGGGTAGCTGACACTCTCTTTCATATTTGAGGGAGTTTAAGAAAAAAAAGCTCTCTCTCCTCCCCACCCCACCGAAACTGCTCTCATTATCCCTACAATTCCGGATGTGTCAATTCAAATGTAAATGTGCACGAATGCTTCCAACAGGATTTTAATTACAATGATAGCATCGCTAATTATGGATATGTATATAAAAAATATATGTATGAAGGGTAATTCAGGAAGGTGCTGTGCAGAATCTGGTGCTATCAGTCAAAATAAGGCTGTGCAGAGAGTTAAAGGGCTGGGCAGGGATTTGACAAAACCTAGCAGGTCCCTTTTCCCCTTCAGGCCAGGAGGTGCCAAGCAGATTTCGGCCAGGCACAGATAATTTAGGATGGGCAGTGCTGCTGTGCCAGAGGCCTGGCAGCAGGGAATCCTTCCAGCTGTGGATTTACCCACCAGCACTGCTGCCAGGCAAGCTCTGCTGCTGCCAGCTGCTGCACCCAGCCCTTCTGCCCCAGGATCTCATTCCCAGCGAGTTCCACTGCAAAGCCACAGCCAGTGCTGAGCATCCCTGAGCTGCCACGGGATGCTGCAGGAGCAGGACTGGCCCAGGGGATCAGCCCTCCACCTCTGGCTGCAGAAAGGGGAAGCAAGATCAAAGAAAGGCACCAGGAGGAGGAGGAGGAAGGGAGATTCTTGCCCTTGGGAGCGAACGTGAGCGCGGCTGAATTTGCTTCTGTCTGAATTTGCTTGCAGGAGCACTAAACCACAATCCACACCATCCAAAGGGGAGCACCCACAGAATCCTGGAAAAACAAAGGATTTCCCACATCTCCCTCTGCAAACAGCTGGGACAAATGCCTCTGGAGGGATGCAGGTGAGGTCTGGTTTACTCCAGGGTGTGGGGATGCCTGTGGGATGGAACATCCAAGCTCTGCCAGAACCCAGCAGCCACAGCCCCTCGCCCTGCCCATCCCTTGCTGCTCTGTTTGGGATGCCTGGATGCAGTCAGAATCCCAGGAAACAGCAGGCAGAGCCCAGCCATGGCCTCCACTCTCCAGAAACAAGGCAGTGCCAGAGCAGCTCGTTCCTCATCGCTCTGCAGCACAGCCTTCCCAGAGGAGCCTCTCAAGGAAACAGAAAGCAGCAGGGAGGCTGAGGATGGGATTCCCAGAGGGATCTGGGGGCTCCAAGCACTGGGCTCTGACTGGAGAACTGATGTAAGCCACAGCTTGTTGCTCTGGTGCTGGTTTTGACCCAGGCAAGGTGATGATTTAATCACAACCAAGGCCAACACTGATGCTGTCCACGCAGCAAAAAGAGGGCCCTAACCCTAACCTCAACTCTAATTTGTCACTAAACTCCTGCTGGCTCAACTCCAGCCTGCAGGGATAAGTAATAACATGGGAAATGAAGGGATGAAGAGGTGTGGGCAATGCCACAGGCTGCAGCTGTTAGCTGGTGCGTGGAATGTCCAACCCCACCAGCCTCAGATCCTGCTGGCCATATTTGCCCTGATTTGCCTCAACTTCCTTGGCCAAGGCTCCTCTAATTCTCAGTTCCCAAACCCCCAAAATAAAGGCAGGGCATGTAGGAAGACAGAGGGGATGGATGATTTGATGTCTGTGTGCCCACACTGTGACCCTCCCAACTTCCTCCTGTTCAGGGCAGCAGCAGCAGCATAAATAAAAAAGGAGACAGACTTGAACCCACCTTTAAGGGAATTGAAAAATAAAGCAGAAGCTAAGTGTTGAGAGGCAAGTTGAGGCTGTGATTTAGTCTAAGAAGGAAAGGTCCATCCATTTTCATCAGGGATGTACTTTGGCTGTATCTCAGGGCTCACAGAGTGAATGCTCAAGGTTATCATACCCTCACACTCTGGCCACACATAACACATGCTGGACACATCAATATTCACTGTCCACTGACCAGGTTACTTATTTTTTTTAAGAAATAGGGAAAAAAAACACAGTGGTACAGCGAGACTGAAAAAAAGCAACAGAATAAAAGAAATAAAGCAGATTTTAGTCCCTGCCTTTCCCTGCAGAGCACAGAGAATACCTGCACCTGCCTCGCTCTCTATTTTGGGATCTCTATCTGGAATTCAAAACATCTAGATGATTCAGTGTATCGAATTGTTATCAAAATCCAAGGAGCTGGAATGCTCTCTTCCTGCCCTACCCACACTGCTGCTGATAATTTCAATTATCAGCATCCACGTATCCCTCATTTTACCTGAACATGGACTTCGTAGGTGCTCCCACACACAAAAAAAAAATCCCTCCAATGTAAAACCTAAGCAATGCAAAGTTTCCAAAACTAATTAAAAAAAAAAAATCAGCATTTCCAACATCTGCACAAACACTCTCACCACACTTCAAAAACTGATTTAGCAGAGCACCCAGGTAACCCAGCTGGGTGCAGCTTGGTCAGAAATAGCTGGACTGGATTGATGCTCAAGGACCACGAGCCAAAGGCCAAAATAAATTGATGGGAACAAGTGAAAATCCATCTGTAATCACAGAACAAATTCCCAGACCTCACTTCAGCACAGAGCAGAGAGCCCTGATGTTGGTGGATGCTGGCTGGCAGACAAGAATTGAGGCAGCCCATTACTTTTTTTTTTTTTTTTCAGTGTAAAGTCAAGGATGAAGGATATAAAAATTTAGAGACCTGCATTAGAACTCTCACACACTGGCAAGTTATGGGATTTTGCTGGCAGGGAGGAAAACAGATTTAAAGGCTGCAATTCTAGTTATTTTTAGTGGGACAAATATTGCAGTTATTCTCTACATCTTTCAAGCTGTATTTAAAAAAAGAGTCAGCCAAGTTTATTTGCCAGAGTGAGGAGGGAAAGGGCGTAAGGGAACAATGTCTTTATGGCCAGAGCTACAAAAATCCCACAAAGCTAAGCTCCAAGTGTGGTTTTTCCCCTTCACCCCCTCACAAAACAAAGTTGTCACCACTGTGTGTGTTTGAGGCTGCCTGGCCTCCAGCCAAACCTCCCAAATCCCATTTTCTGCCTTCCAAGGCGCAGGGAAGAGCCCACACATGCTGTGCACAGATTTGGGGTGGGCAGGTGGATGCTGCTGAGCCCCAGCTCCCCACAGCTGTGTTTTACCTCTCTCTGCTCACTGCAGATCTTGCACAACCACAGAGGACGTTTCTGGGCTCCAACAGTTTCTATCCCACACTTGGTGCAAACTTTCTGAAACAAAGAGAGGGAAAAAAAAAAAAAGAAAGAAAACAAAAAAATAAAAAAGAGAGAGGTGGTGTTAGCAGCTCTCCACAGCCCCTGGGGGAGAGAAGGTTGAGAAGCAACAGCTCTGTTTTGCTTTCCTTCAAAACCTCAACCATGGCACAAATTCCCTGTTTTTCCTGAAGAACCACTGACTGCAGGAAGATGCTTCAGGGCTATAAGGACACGAGATAAAGGCAAATCCACAGCACAGCCCTTGACTCCAGTGAGAGGAGAGAACTGGTCAGGGCAAATCAAACCCCCTCACCCACAGGTGTGTTTCCAGAGTGGCTTTTTTATTCCCCTAAATCCTGACCCCCAGTCTCTGTGGCGTGGAAAGCAGCTGTAACCAGGCACAAGTGCAAGAGTGGAAATGTTCTCCTTCCTCCTCTCACACACGTGTGTTAAATCCCACATTTTCCCCTCCATCTCAGCGCACTCTGCTTGATCTTTGGCAAGTGGGCATGGCCATGGTTACACACATTTCCTGAATGCCTGGTGGTTCTGCACAGCCCTTTCTGCTGTCTCTGCTGGCATTCCAAGCCACTGACAGCCTGAATCACCCAATATTACATAATGAAGCTGATGCCCATCAGCCCTGGCAGTGCAGCTTGAATGAGAAATGGGATGAATCCTTTGATCCTCACAGTGCAAAAGCCACTCACAAGAGGAGAGCAAAAGCTTGCTGAGATATACACGAGGATTGGATGCCCCCAGATTTACACATCCCCCACACCAAGCTGCTCCTGTGTCCAGGGACGAAAGTCTCATTTTCCCCATCCCACCATTCCTGCCCTCATCCTCCCAGAGAAATAATTAACAACCTGTTGAGCCTGGTGCATCAGCCCTCAGCATGGTGCTCCCCAAGCCAAGGGGGATTGGTAGATTCAGTTACAGACACCACCTCAAAGAGCCCAAACTCTCCCTCCCCCAACCCAAAACCCGAGGGAGCAGCCCGGCCTGAAATACCCTCCAAAATCCCAATCCCCACACGGATAGCACATTCAAACGCTCCCTCTAGTGGAAATTCCCAACCGATTTTACTCCCAGCCACGAGTTCTGAAAAATCCCAATATTAAAAGGGTGTTTTCCTCCTCCCCTTCTCTGCAGAGCAGCTGGGAAATTGAGCATCACTCAGAAACCCTCGGAAGAAGACATAAAAATCAAGAGCACTAAATGCAGCCCCATTTCTCATTAAACACAAGACAAAGCACTTTCCTCTCCCACTCATCCTTCACCTTTTACACATGACATCAATCCCTTCTGCATGGTAAAGCACCTTGGGCTTTGTCTCACTCCTGCTGTTGTTAACACATCTTTGCACACACCTTTGTCTTGCCACAACGCCTTGGTTTCCCAGAGAATAAAACTAATATGAAAAACATTATTTCCAAAGCAGGAATGGCACCTAGAAGATCCATCAGAAGCGCAGAAATTCTGTTCAGCAGGAGGGACTTGCTGAAGGTAAATTCTTTGCTGTGTTTCAGGTGCATCATTACAATGCCTGGTTTTGAATTAAACATGCTGCAATGACATGGTACCAGAGAAGTGCCTGCCAGAAAAATATGAACTTTAAAAATCCATAATTCCCTGACAAATTGCTTATTGCACACAGCACTCCATGAGTGATGGATATCCCTGGACAAGAGGGAACAAGCAGTTCCCTCTGTGCTCTGCTGAAGGGTTGGCTGTTCCCTGAGTTCACAACATTAAAAAGCAGAAGGGGAGAAGCCCAGAGCACCCAGGCAGAATTGCCTTGGGCTAGCACACAGCTGAAAAGTGCAGCCAGTCTGAAAACAGCTGCAAAATACACCCTGGAAAAGAAGGATCTCACTTAAATCAACCTGGATATGAATGCTGCTGAACTGCCCAACAGAATCCAGACAAAAAGGGAATCTTTTTTTTTTTTTTAAATCCAGCTTTTCTCTGGGGTTTTCTGGTCACAGCCCTCCTCAGGGGCAGGCTCACACTGTCCCACCAGCTGAGGGTCACTCCTGCAAAGGGCCAGGGCTGGGAAGTGTCTGAAGCAGCTTCTGCCTCCTCAGTAGTGTTCAGGATTCACAGGAAATTTTTTAAAAAGACCCGTGGCAACATGACTTGGCTGGCTCCTGACAAGGTGAGGGCAGAACTGCCACGGGAAGAAGGCAGGAATAGAGCACATCCTGTTATTCCACATGCCTGAAATACAGGAAACAGCCAAGAATCCCCTGCCTGTCACCCGAGCCTTTATCCTCCACAGCGCACAGAGACCACGCTGCTCCCACCAGCCCTGACCTTTCACTGCTGCTTCCTTCCACACCCCTTCCCTAAAAGCTGCTTTCCCCATGGTTTAGGACCCAGGGGCTCCAAGATTTGTGTTTCCTTTCCCAGGCACTGCCTTGGAAGGAATCTTGTGCACAAATCCTGCGAGTTCCAGTGGAGGAACCGCTCTGCAGCAGAGCTCACAGCCTGCTCTGCACCACAGCTGTGTCCCACAAGAGCCAGCAGTGCCACAGAAGGGTGTTCCCGTGCTCCAGCCAGCAGCCCATGGAAAAGCAGCAGCTTTTACCCAGCCAGAAACACGCCAGCACCCAGCAGGTGCCCTCACCTCGACAGGCTGGCATGAAGGAACTCCCAGAGGTGAGTCCCCAGGGAAGATAGGCTTCAAGGGCAGGAAAACCAGGCTCCCAGCAGAGGCAGGATGAGGTGGTTGCCTTGGAGGTTGTAATCTGCACAGCAATACAGATTAACCCCCCGGCTGTGGAGGCAAGAGCAGCAGGAATCATCCCTGGGGTGTTGGCAGAGCAACAACACACACAGCACAGGCAGTCCCTGAGGCTCAGGGCTGGAAAACTTGCACTGGGCTGGAGCTGGAGGATGGACTCGAGTCCTCTTGGAAGGTCTCAGGGCAGACCTTGCAGGGAGTGCCAGCAAAGCTCAGGGACTCTGTTGTGAGCTGTCTCTGATGGCTGCACATTCCTGCCCCCAAAACCCCAGCTGGGAGATGCAGAGGGGGCTGGCACAGCCCATCCAGCACTGAGGGCAGCTCAGGCACTTTGGGATCCTGAGGAATCTCTTATCATCACCAGGCTGCAACAGCAAACTCGACGGTCTGAGAGCACCAGTGAGAATAAAATAACCCTGCAGAGCTCTCCAGCTTCCTGGTGGCATTTCCTAGAGAGTTCTGCTGCCAGGATCAGGCACGTGTGACCAAACCCACCTTTTTGCAGTCCTGGCAGAAGACAGAGGAGCTGCCCAGCAGCCCCAGCATCTCCCCACAGAGCAGGCACTGCGAGAGGCCGTTCCCCATGGCGTTCTTCCTCATGTTCTCCAGCCTCTCCACCAGGCGCCTGCAGGCAGGAGGCAGAGCAGAGGTCACAGCACTGCAGGAAAAGCTTTAAGTGCTCAGACCTGGGCAAGTCAGAAAGCACTGGGAAAGGGCAAAGGAGCTAAACCTGCCAAGCCCTCTCCATTTCCCTGAAAGCAGCAGGGCAGGCACTGACTTGCCCACATCCCATGCAGAGCAGGAAGGCCAGACTGAAGGCCAAAGACCAAAATGACTGAAGCCTGTTGCAGCATTTTTGAGAGAAAGAGGACATGAGTTATGAAATTTGAGCTACTCCAGTCTAGGCCTCAGATTTGGGCCTTGTGGGCCTTCAAGCCTCTGATGCAGTTAGAAATTCAGAGCTTGTGGCGCAGATAGAAATAGTCTTAAGATGTGATGGGGACCACTGGGTTGTCTGGTGTGAATTAGTATAGGTTTTATAGTGTAAGGTGTAGGCTGTTTTAAGGAAAAGGTAAACAATGTTAGCCTGCCAATCAGAGTGTCTTTGTTTTTGTAAACTATGTAGAAGCTTATATAAACCACCATCTTATCTCGAATAAACGGAGAACGTTTGATTAACCACATTGGTTCAGATCTGCGTTTGTCTTGTCCAGCTTTCCGTTTTCCTGAGATTCCCTGGCTTTTGAAGCCATCAGACCAAAAGGAGCCTGGCTGTGGCACGGGAATGCCAGTACTGCTCCCTGCTCCATGCCACAGCCCATGTGGAAGCCTGGAAGCACACATGCATGCACAAAGGCTGCAACAGCAGGGCTGGGAGAGGGGAGGAAGGCGGGTGTGGACAGCAGAGCAAGGCTGCTCTGCCATGAGATCACTGCTTGGCAACCTTCAGGCCTCCATCTGCAGCAGCCAGGCCATTTACAGCAGCAGCAGCAGCAGGGAGTGATCCTGCCATGCCTGAATCCAGCTCTCATTAGTGCTAATGTCCCATCCACCAGGGCCTGTGGGACAGCAAGGCAAGGGCTGTTTGACAGAGGTGCTGCCCGTGTGGGGAGCTCGGGCTGCACAGCCAGAGAGAGCCACCATTAGTGGATTTATGATCCTCGACTTGGACTCCGGCACAAAAGAGCTCCTGGGAGCCAACAAAAGGCGTTTCAGAGAATGCCTCACCACAGGAGCTGCAGGGGTGGCACTTGCTGCAGCTCCAGCAGCAACCACAGGAGCAGCCAGGCCCTCAGGGTCACTGGCTGCTGCTGGGGTCTCCTCTCCCATTTATCACAAAAACACAAAAAAAACCACATTTAACACAAAAACAGGGAAGCAGAGAGGCAGGAATCTGGCCCTGGCTGGGAGTCCCTGGGGTTTCCTGTCTCACAAACACAAACACTGCTGGGAATTGCTGCAGGGCTGCCCAGCTCCCTGGCCCTAAAGGCAGCCAGTGCCTTTAGGATGATCACAGACAGAGCTCAAGCCAGACCTCCAGCAGGACTGAGAGCAAATGGGAACCTGCAGCAGCAAAAGGATGCTGTAAATTAAATAATTCAAGCTAGCAAACCCCGTCCAGAGGGCTCAGCCAACTAGAACATAAACTCATTCTCTGCTCCAGGCAAAATCCCAGGGGCCTGGTGCGGACAAGGGAAAACCTGATTGCACTGCCAGCAGTGATCCTGAGCCATCCACGCCCTGGGCACACCCAGCACCTTCCCAGCCTCTCCCAGGGCTCCTGCCTCAGCACCACCTGCATTTTCCAGGGACTGTGTCAGGGCTGCAGCCTCAGCAGCCCCCAAGGCTCAAAGAAAGCACAAAAAGACTTCAGCGAGAAGGAAAACGTGACATCCTCCCCCGGTGGTCATCACCTCCAAACAAGCAGCGTGGGAGGGGAAAAATCACTGACCTAAGGGATGCTCTGAGTGATGGAGGCTGAGCTCAGGCAGCTGGGAGAGCCACTCCTGCCTGTGCTGCCCTTTGGGGAGGGAAGGGGACGTGGCCGTACCCGATGCGCTGCTGCTCCACCGCGTCCAGCTGCTCTGCCTTGCGGATCACTCCCAGGATGACCTCAAGCTCCTTGGGGCTCAGAGCCTGCATCTTCCTCTGCTTCTCAGTCTGGAATGTGTGCACTGACCAGCCCGTCTGGAGCCTGTGGGAGGGGGTGGAGGGCAGGACTCGGCTGGGGAGGGAGAGCACAGCCCCCCTGCCCTGCCCCACAGCCCAGGCACGCAGAGCCACGGCAGCCTCCCATCAGGGCAGCCTAAAGCCCAAAGCAGGAGGCTCCTCTCACTTGGCCACATTTCACAGCACCCCTCCAGCAGCACTGAGCGCTGTGCTGCCTCTCCCTGCCCTCTGCCCTCCCTTTCTGCTGGGGATCCCCTCACGGAGCACCACAAACGCCAAGAGCAAACCCCCAAACGCAGGGATCACCTGCATCCTCCTCCCTCCAAAACCCCACATCCCTCACACCCTCAGTTCAAACACACAAATGGCTGGGCATGCCTAGAAACACAAATCTGGCAACGTCCTCCCTTGGCCTGGCCCAGGTTCACACCAGGACTTCAGCAAACCCCCCCCGTGCCTCACACGCAGCAGCTGATGTTTCTCCTTGGCTCACTTGGCAACAGGCAGGAGCTTTCACAGCTCAATTAATTAATTACCATTCAGGAGGGGTTTGGAGGTCACTGGATAAACTCATGGTTGCAAGGAGGATGCACTTTTGGGCAGCACTGCATTGCTGAGGCTTTCTGCAGGCAGGGGAGCTGGCAGTGGGGTGCCCAGTCAGGCAGCCCCCTCAAAACTCGGGGTGTTCCCCTCTTTTCTAACACTCTGCAGCAGCAGCTGAGCCCAAGGGCTCAGGCAAGAGCAGAGGTGGCACGGTCCCAGTTGCCAGGGAATGAAAACATTCAAGAAAAATGCACTTCTAGTGCTTGACTCATCCCCATCCTTTTAGTCTTTAGGTAATGCAGTAATTTTAACTTCAGAGAACTAATGGCAAGTTCCTAAAACAAAGGGGTGCTGGCAGCTGGGGGATGCCATCAATTATATTTAGGGTGCTGTGGAGATCTGAGGCTGCCTCCAACCCTTCCTTTCACCCAGGGGAGGGCTGTGGGATGGAGTCCCAGGGGTGCAGGGTGAGCCCAGAGACACCAGGAAAGCTGTCGGGGCAGAGCTGAGGGTGCAAGAGGAGGAGGAGGGTGGGGAGGACTCACTTGGCTCTCAGGGCCAGCTGCCGGTCGTTGGGGCAAACCCAGGGGCCAGTCCCACTGCCAAAAATCATGTCAGCCATGGCCCCAGCCTGGGGAGGGGTGGGGTGGCAGGAGTCACACCTGGAAGAAGCAAAGAGAGGTGATCTGCCAGCACCACACACAGTGGGAGCAGCCAGACTCTCCCCCACAGACAGTGATAAAAACACACCATCACCCTCATAAAATATAAGCTGATAAATACTTTCAGATACCTTGAAGGCAAGGCTGGAAGTTTAGATTTTATGGTATACGCTGGGAAAAAAAAAAAACAAAAAAAAAGCCAGACACTCTTTGTCAGTCCTGATTTTTCATTTTAAACTAGAGAAAAGCGTTGTCTGTAAAAATATTAAAATATTCCCTGCCTCCCCACCTCCAGAGCCCCAGCACTGCAGTTCTGACAGAGAAAGCCACTCCAAAGGACACAAAGAAGCTACAGTTGCCTTTTTTTTAACCTCTTAATGGGGTAACAAACAAAAACCCACGCAACAATCAGCATGAATAGTGGTAAGTCATTTCCTTCATTAAAACTGCCTCTATTATAGCCTGATATTTATAACTCCAGCCTACAACAGCAGCTTGTTTGCATTCTCTGATGCTTAAGACAGCACCTCTTGCAGCAGGATCTCCTGCTGTGGCTCCTGTCCCTGGCATGGTCACACCAGTGTTCAGTGAAAATTCCACTGAACTGATCAGGAAAGGCAGCAGGAACCAATTTCCAGATGCTCATGGGAGAAACATCCCCCTAAGAGACTGCAGCTGAGCAGTTCTGAGTCCTATCAGCAGCTCAGATGAATGGAAAGCACCAAGGGACAGGCACAGCCAAAAGATTTCAATGGATGCTGAACTAGACTCGATGTACTGAGCTTTCAACCAGCTGGATTTGCTCTCCAGCAGAGCGAGTGTCTCACAAGCCCTAATGCATAAATTCCCAAGTATTAATGCTTGTCCCCAGCACAGACACTTGCCAGCTTTGAAACCATACCTGCTGGGCAGAGATAACATGTTTAACGCTGGTTGGCAACCAGAAATCAGATGCAATGGCAGGCAAGGTGTATCACCTGCCAGCTGTGCTGGAGTTCCCAAGCAAACTATTTTTTTTTTCCAGCCTCAATCCCCAGCAGTGCTGGAGCCACCCCTGCTATCTGCTGCTGCCACGCTGAGCCCTGTGCTCTGTGCCAGGCACAGCCTGATGGCCTTGGCCCCCTCACACATCAAACTCTCCCTGCTGTGCTGAGCTCACACATCCCCCAGCACAGAAACACCAACCTGTGGCACAGAACAGACAGCTCCCTCCTGCCAAAGCCACCTCAGAGCCAAACCTGTCCCAAAGAACCAGCTCCCTCCTCTCTGGCCATCCCAATTTCTGGGAACAGAACTGAGAATGCAGTGCTTCCAACAGGCAGGAGGGAAAAGGGGAAATTCCACACAGATTTCTTTCAGTGCAAGGGGAAATGTGTGTAAAAAAGGTGAAGGCTCAGCACAGCCTGACTTCTGCAAAGGAGGTGGAAAAGCTGCAGGAAGCAGGGCTGAGGCTGGAAGGACACGCAGAAATGTCACACAGGATATCTTTGAAACCTTTACCACATCAGTCAAAGCGATGGCTTTTGAAAGAGAAGAAAACCTTGGACCCTGGCACCGACTGCTCTCCCCACTCTGCTCAGTGCCACACGCTGGGTTTGCATTTCCATTCAGCCCCAGAACACCTCCTGCTCTTTTCATCTTCCTCACAACCTCCAGCGAGGAGAGAACACTGAGAACACCTTCCCCACTCCCATCCCACAGCGCTCACACCCAGGGCAGCAATCAGGCATGAACAGCACAAGAACACAGAGGCTCCCACCCTCAGGCCTGAGTTAGAAGCAGAGAAAAGCTACAACTGCACACAGAATGGCTGACCTGGGATTTTCCAGCGATTTCCCAAGCCTGTGATGTGTGGTTACAGGATTATATGCACATGTAGTCCCCCACACAAATGCATATATTAAATTACTCCTCAGCTGCACCATGAATTCCTGCCTCCCACTCGTGAACACCTGAAGAACAGCACAGCCCACGCTCTGGGTCCATGCAGGGCTCCAGGCAAGCAGCCTGTGGTGCCTGGGGGGTCTTTGGAATAAAAGCTGGAGCTGGAGATGAGCCCCACAGCACAGCCAGGGCAGAGGAGTTTGCTTTGCCAGCAGCTTTCAGGGTGCAAAGCTGTGCTGGAAGCATCTGCCCCTCCTCAGCAGAGCTTTATCTGCTCCACCAGAGCTGAAGGCGACTCAGAATCGAGCACATGAGCTGAGCACTCTTCTCAGGAGAGGCTTAGAGGCATTCTCCAGCCTCACAGCAGAGTGAGCTTTGCTCAGCGTGACTGAACAAAAACAAGCAATGTCATGGTCCTTTGCCTCTTGTTACTCAGCATACGCTCCCCGTCCTCCACGTTCCCTGAGCAGCATCTGCAAAGAGAGAAGGCAAACGAAACACTGCCTAAAGAGCCACCAGCTCCCAAAAGAGTCTTCAGAGAGATTATTCCCTGAAATATTTACAGGATGGGCCATCTCCTCTGATGGGAGCTGCTGGCTTTCCAGTTTTGCCTCTGGAAAAAGCCTGGTGGGGACACACCTCGAAGAAGGAAACAGGAATGAGACTGCAGGGCATGGTCTGCTGGGGGAAAAGCAGGGCTGGAGGGAAAGGACTGTCTCTCATGGGCGTGGGAATGATGCCAGAGGAGTGGAAGGCATGGAGAATCTTCTCTCTTATCTTGGTACAGGACAAGAAGTGCAGGGAAATCAGAAACACCCAGATAGCAAAACCACGCCAGCCCAGGGTGTCGTTTCCATGGGCTGTGGTGAAATATCCCTGTGGTGCAAGTCTTGCATTTTCTCTCAAAACCACTCCAATTAGCACCGAGCCATCCCCTCCCTGTCCTCCTCTCCTCTCAACAAACTAACCAGTCCCTGCTGGTGAGACAGCAAAGAAACCCACAGCTCCTGGCCCTGCACACAGGGTGACAGCCAAGCACCAGCCCTGCATGGCACAGAAAAACCTCCCACTCCCGGCTTCAGCTTTTCACCTGAATGAAAAGGGGAGCTCTTATCGATATTCTGTGACCTGCTTTAAAACCACTCCACCTGTTCACTCCTTTCCTGTGATGGGGGAAGCCATGTGAGACAAAACCTCATTAAATCTGAGTCCACCCGGCTGCCTTTGGAGCAGAAACTCAGGAGAGGAGCAGTGCCCTGCAGGGCTGACCCTTCCTGTGGGGCCAGCAGCATCCTGGAGGATGCAGAACCCTGCACATCTGGCAGGGAGAAACCTTCCAGTGGGTCTGAGTGAAAGGAGCAATGGCAGGCAGGCACACAGCCCTCGGACACAGTGCTCTTCAAAGAACTCCTGAGGAGGAACCCAGGTTTTCTCAGCAGAACATCACCATGAGCATCATGCATTTTACCTCAATAACTGAGCACGGACACAGCACTGCTACCTCACCAGCTGCAAGGAATAGAACAGCAAAGCACAACACAGCAACACTTATCCAGAACCCTCCCAGCCTCCAGAGGTTCCTGGATCATGCACTGCCCGACCCAGCCTGCAGATCTATTTAACACCCTCAGCATTTTCCTGTTCTGAATTTACCAGCTTGCTTTTTCAGCATCATCTCACCACACCAAGTCCCTTCCCCACTCCCCCACCTCAGACATTGCTGACTCCACCCTGACTACACCAAAGGTGAAGCTGAAGGGTCTTACTGACCCTGAGGCAGCAGAAAAACCTCCCCACGAAAACCCTACACAGGCCCACCAGGAGGCCTCCAGTCAGCTTTCATTTGCCTGCTTATTTCAGCTGAGCAGCTCGTGCCTAGATTAATTTGTTTTCACAGCAAATTGATTAGATGATTATTTTTTTTTTAAATACTTCATTTTACAAAAATCAAAATGAAGCAGTTGGCTGGAGCCGAGCTCCCAATTCCCAAACTGTGTCATTACCTCACCTGCTCCCAGGGCATCACCTCCCCCAGGATTCCCAGGTACCTGCTGGCTGGTTTTCCCTCAGAGGAATCGGTGTAATCCTGCTCTGCAGCCAGACCCTTATCCCGGGAAACCTTGGCAACTGAGGAGTGTTTGCTGGTGTTGCCATGGCACAGGGTAACCGAGGGGCAGGGATTGAGAAGGTTAACCCAGCCCAGCAGCTCCCTGCAGGAAGGTTATTTGCAGCATCCACCACTTTTCCCCTCATGGGTTAAAGCCCCACAGCTGAATTTCAGAGCTGGTTTGAAGTGCCACAACCCTCAGGGCTGCAGGAAACTCAAAATTTGGCTTTGGAGCCAGAGCAAGGCTGAACCAGGGTTTGGAGGAGTTTTTCTCACACCTGAACCACTTGGAGCTGCTCATTCACACCCACAGCCAGCAGTTCCCTTCAGCAGGAGCCTGCTGTGGGCACCAATAAAATAAACACCACAAAGCTTTGCCAAGCTCTGGGACAACAACTTAAGGTCCCAATCAGACAGATTTTCCCCATGAAAACTCAATCTAAGCAGCATCAGCACCAGCAAAATGGGGACAACCTCACTCAGACTCTCATTCTGGTTGGTCCAGCCCAAATCAAACCCCAGCTGGGAGGTGTCCTTATTGTGAAAGGCCAAACTGGTAAAGAAGTGGGGGAGGATGAGGTTTGGGGGAGAAAATCAGGAGGTTTCCTCTCCACCAGAGCTGCTTCCCCATCCCAGCAGCAGCAACAAGAAGCCAAACTGCATTTAAGATGGAGCTTATAAAGAGTTTTTAAAATACAATGAAGGTCCATGCCAGTCCTGTGAGTGGGAAGATAAAATCAGCACCAACAATTCTTTATTAACGAGAGGCACTTGTTAGTGTGGCTACCTGAGATATGGAGAGCTGAAAAAAAAAACAAAAAAAACCAACCAACAGGTTTTGCCAAAGCAAAGCAGCCTCCAGGTGCCCCAGCACCCCTCGATGCCGGGGAGGAAAGCCAGCACTGTTCCACCTGCCAAGGTGTATCTTTATTCATCAGACTTTGGACCCATTTCCTCCTGAGCCCCTGCCAGGCAGGTGCCTTATGCAAAGTGAATAATTCATGAAGACAGCAGGCTCTTTCTGACTCGCTTTTCGGGGCAGGTTGATCTGGCTGTAGGCTTGGGAGAAACAAATTAGCATCTAAATGGCCAATTAGAGAAACTCATTTCGCTATTCTAATATGCTAAAAAGCTCGGGAGGCCTGAGGCTGGCAGTGTGGCACCTCCCGAGAAGCATCAGGTTTCTTAGAAAGGAAGGGACAGAGGGAAGGCTGAGCACAGGGCAGCTTTTGTCAAGGAATGCCGTGCAGAAGAGGAGCCACACGCCAGGCTGTGGCACCAACCTCCAGGGAAGCAGGAAAAGGAACAGCCCGTGCAGAAACTCTGCTCAGCAGCCGGGCCTTGCCAAAAAACTCCCTTTCCTCCGAGCCACGGGCAGGATGGAATCGCTTTCCTCAGCATCTTTAAAGGGTTTTAGGCACCCTTTGAACACCGCCACAAACGCGGCGCTTTGGGGCTTTTTTCAGGAAGAAAAGCCGTGGGCTTTGCCAGGGTGCTGGAGGGCACCCGAGCCAAGCTGCAGCACCCACCGCCCCAAACCCACCGCCCCAAACCCTTCTGCCACCCCGCACAAGCTCCCCAAATCCCAAATCCACCACATGCCCGGTAACTTTTCCTCGCTCCCACCTCTTGCCCCCTTTCCCTCCACATCTTTGCCGCTCCCGGGAGGAATTCCAGGAGCTCCCGGGAGCCTTTCAGGGAATTCTCCAGCCCCGGGGCCCGGCTGAGGCTGCCCCGGGCTCCCCCGAGCTGCTCCCGGTTCCCAGCGCCCACAAACCCCGGGCACGGCGCTTTCCCTCCGGGCTCCCCACAGCGCTGCGTGCCGGGCGCTGAATCTCGGCTCCAACTCCGCCCGGAGCCGGGTTAGGCCGAGCCGAGCCGAGCTGGGTTAGGCCGAGCCGGGTTAGGTCGGGCCGAGCCAAGCCGAGCCGGGTTAGGCCGGGCCAAGCCGAGCCGAGCTGAACCGAGTTAGGCCGAGCCGAGCCAGGTTAGGCCGGGCCGGGCCGAGCCGAGCCGAGCCGGGTTAGGCCGAGCCGAGCCGAACCGAACCGAGCCGGGTTAGTCCGAGCCGAACCAAGCCAAGCCGAGCCGAGCCGGGTTAGGCCGAGCCGAGCCGAGCCGAGCCGAGCCGAGCCGCTGCCCCCCCGCACCCACCTGCGCTCCGGCCCCGCTGGCGGAGCCGCTGCCCCGCGGGACGAGGCGGAAGCGGAGCCGCAGCTGCGCCGCCCCCGCCCGCCCTCCGCGCCCCGCGCGTCCCCTGCTGGAGCCCGCGGCGGGAACCGAGCGGCCCCGGGCCCTGCCAGAGGTGCAATGGGAGCGGCTGGAGGGGTGTGGGTGCAGCCAGATGTGCGCTGGGAAAGGCTGGAGTGATGTGGGCACAGCCAGATGTGGGTTGGGATAGGCTGGAGGGATGTGGGCACAGCCAGATGTGCATTAGGAAAGGCTGGAGGGATGTGGGCACAGCCAGATGTGCATTGGGATAGGCTGGAGGGATGTAGGTGCAGCCAGATGTGCACTGGGAAGGGCTGGAGGGATGTGGGCACAGCCAGATGTGTGTTGGGAAAGGCTGGAGGGATGTGGGTGCAGCCAGATGTGGATAGGGAAGGCCTGGAGAGATATGGGCCCAGCCAGATGTGGATAGGGAGGGTCTGGAGGGATGTCAGCACAGCCAGATATGGATAGGGAGGGTCTGGAGGGATGTGGGCCCAGCCAGATGTGCCCCAGAACCCGTGTGAGGCTCCAGGCACCGCCAGATGTTCGCCAGGAGCAGAACAGGGCTGTGGGCACAGCCAGATGTGATCCAGGAGAAGCTAAGGGAGATGTGGGCACACCCAGATGCGCCCCAGAACCTTTTCTGGGCTGTGGGCACTGCCAGATGTGCATCCCAAAACAGAGCAAGAACCCACGGGAAAAATGCACCCAGCCATAAACAAGGAAAGGTGGTACCAAAACAAACCCTGGAAAAGACCAAACAATTTTTTTCTCTAAACAATAACAACAAAAAACCCCCGCCTAAAACAGAAACAAAACAAAACTACCCAACCAAACAAAGCACAAACCCACACAAACAAAACAACCAGAAAAAAAAAACAAACAAAAAAGCAAACCAACCTAAAATCCACACAAGAAACAAACAAACAAAAATCCAACCCAAACAAAAAACGAACTTCACAGGGTTAAAAAAAGTGTTCACACCAAGAACAGAACAGGCCTGGGACAAGCACAGGGGGCTCAGACCTTTTAAAACTGAAGGGCCCAAACCTCCTGAGCAATCCCAATTCTAGACATTTGCTGGTAATAGCAGCAAAATTTGGGTTTGTGAAGGGCCAGCCTGGGATCCTGCAGTGAGTCAACAGCAAATCACAGGAACACAATTATTCCTTTGCACTAGAACACAGGAATTTGGGCTTGTTATTGTCTAAATGGCCAGTTGATGCTGTGAGTAAACTTGCCATGTGACAGGAAGGGATGTGGGGGGAAATGAGAGAGGGAAAAGAGAAAGGAAGAGAAAATAAATTGTGTTTCTACTGCCCCTTCAGTAATCTGCAAAGAGAAAAAAATCTGCCGCCTCTGCAAACATTTTCACCTCCACACGTCCACCAGTCCTCAGGGCCAGCTCAGGGACCCTCAGCCACCTTTCACCCGAATCAAGCTCCAGTCTAAGCAGATATTTTTCTTTTTGGTTCAGGCAACTGTTGAAAAATAGATCCGAGGAAGCATTTTGCATGAACACAGAGCCTGCAGTTCTGTGGAAGCAAACACTTGACGATGACATTTCGCACCAGGGTAGTTCTTCCACACAGTCAATAATATAAATAAATTAAACACACGGTTCAGCCAACTTCAGGAAGAAGATAAATTACCTTGTTTAACCAGCTGTGCTGGCAGGGAATTGACACACATCTCGGAGCTTGCATCCATCCTGCTGTTGAATTTGCTTGTCAGGATCCTCACAGATGCTCCAGAATCTGCAAGGCTGGGCCTTGGTGCCACAGAGAATAAATATGACGTTACATTAAAAATTTTTAAAGGCTAAATTCAGCTGTTTGATAGCACGGAGCCAATTTTTAATAGACTCGTTTCTCAGAAGCCAGGCACTTCCAGTTCCACCCAAAGAACCCTTCAAAGTCTCTCTTTTATCAGTGATGGGTTTTGCTGAATTATTCACCAGATCACAGCTGCCAGAGATTTTAAATATCCCCGTGACAAGGACAGTGAGGGATAACAACCTCCTGCTGCAGGCTCACCATGTGTGGGAGTCCAGGGCTTCCCTCTGGCTGCCCTGGGACCCTGGCAGGGGTCAGGAACCCCCTGGACAGAGCCCCCAGAGACACTGGCTGTGATCTCTGACCATGGAAAAGAGTTTTCAATCTTACAGGATGAATTACCAGCTCTGAGTGTTTGATATGAGTAATAATTAAGTGTGGCACGGGTGCAAAAGTAAAATTTTAGGATTCTAGATGAGGGGTCCAAAGGGGACAAGATGGAGGAAATTGGGTGTGTCTTGTCCTGTCTCTCCTTCTTCATGCCCTCCATGTTTCACTGTGGTGTTGGCATTTTTCTGTTGGTTCAGGCTGGGGACACACTGTCCAACGTAGGTGACAGATATTGGCACGTTATTGTAAATCCAGCACAGGTAGTTTGTGGTATTTAATGTTTGTAACATCCCACTGAGGGCAGAGCCCCACACGCTGCCCTGCAGGACAGAGCTGCGGCAGGGCAGCAGAACATGTTAGAGATAAACAGAATAAACAACCTTGAAACAGCACAGACCAATTATGACTTCTTCTTTGGCAATGGGGCTGAAAGACAGAGACTTTTTACAATCTGGGAATCATCAATACCCACAGATTCCCCACCAGTGCTGCTGCCAGTGGCACCATGTGTGCCCTCAGCTGATCCCTTCTCCTCTCCTGTGGCACCTCAGGCTGGGATGTTCCTCAAGGAACGGAGAAGAAAGAGCAGCTTTTTGGAGAGGTTCAACTCGTGGGTGTGGTGTCCTGCAGAGGAACCACGGCTGTTTAAAAGCAGCTTTATTGTACAGCAGAATGGTCCAAGCTGGGAGAATCCTGGAATGCTCCAGGATTCCCAGTTTGGACACTGGGCTGGTGAACAGCAGGATGTCAAACTGGCTGGATCCTGATCCCTGAGCAGCCATTTCCCAGGAAAACTGGCACGGAGCTGTCTGGCACTGCTTCCCCATCTGCCTGACTGCCCCAGCTCGCTTCAGCTGCTTCACAATTCACAGCAACAAGTCCAGGGCTTTTCTCCAAGCTGTTGCTCTGATTGCAATCCTCTGATTCAATTTGTGCTCGTCCCTCTAATTACCTCTCCTTAATAAAATGTCAATGATTCTGTCCCTAATCTGAACCAAAAAGGTCTTGTTTACAGAGCACACCTGCTCAAGGGTGTACAAGACAAAGCAAACACTGGAAGAATATTGATGCTTCACAGCAAAATCTGCTTCTTTTTAAACCTGTTCTAAAGTAAAATTCCCAATTCTGGTCCAATTTTCTTGCATGGGCAAGGCTCAGATCTAACTCTCTTTTCCTTGTTCACACTGAGCCTGCAGCACCCACAAGAACATTTCCCAAGGCTTCCTTAGTAGCCCATGTGTAGATCCATACACAACTTCTGTGCCTCTGTGGCACGGGAAAATGATGCACATTTGGGAATAAACTGAAAAATTTAGAGAAATTTCTCAGTGTAGTTGTATTCAAAGTCAAAA